TTAGTTTACACAGCCGGCTAGTAGCTCTTGAGCTGAGTACGGATGTATAGTATTGTGTCGACGATGGGTGCTTTCCAATTGCTTAACACATTTTGATACACACGTACACAAAACCAGTTTATTGGTCACATATTATCTAAAATATATTGTAAGATAATATGCAACTAATAAACTGGTTTTGTGTAACAGTGTATGCAACTGGAAAGCACCCGATTATGATAATTGGAATGCAACTTGTGTCGCCGTGTGCATGAAAGTGTCTAGGGATATTGCAATTGGAAAGCACCCTATACATATGTAAAAATGTGTAAATATGTAAATATAAATATGTAAATATGTAAAAAATGTAATATACATATATAAAATATCTAATGGCTTCTGCACACAGGACTATGTTTGCTGCGCGGCGGAAACCGCGCGACAGTCAATCAATATATTGTTTTTCCGTAAAAGCTAGTAGGTTATTACGGAAAGCAGCATATTGATTGGCTGTCACGCGAACTTCCGCCGCGCGGCAAACATTACCACGTCCTGTGTGCAGGAGCCATAATGTCCGGTTTTACTAACGCAAGGTAATCAAACCGGTTAATTGACTCAACGAAATTGTCCAATAGCATTGTCAGGTTGCTAAACTGATCCATGCGATTGGGCAATTTAATTTGATAACTCGCGTTGAAACCGGGCCTAAGCTTAAAACTATTTAATCCTTTGACTATATAAGTATGGACTGCCAGTTACCCCCATTTTTCCTATTCTCACAATGCTTCGCTATGTAATCAACATTACGCGTGCCCCCGAAGATAAATGTCAAAAAATCGAAACATGATGTCAGATTTCGATGGTAAAACAGGAAGGAAGACAGAGATGGAATATGACACACGCTGCGCTGTTTTATCACGTTTGATAAAGTGCAGAACCATTTGCAGTATAAATAAAATATGTATGTATAAAATTAACACACAGTGAAATAAAGATAACAAAATATATATATATATATATATATATATATATATATATATACAGGGTGAATATTATATACCGGAACACCTG